GTGCTCCCAAGATTCATCTCGTTCAATCTTGATAACTACACTATCCTTTGTGGTCCATACAACAAAGTAGCAGAATTTGCGCTTTGTCAGGAACATCTGGCCTTGACACTGATGCCAGTAAACATGTGTGGTAGACAGCGTATAATTCCCTTCCTTCTCCTCCAAGTAAAAGTCTTTGTGCCCACAAGCTTCCTTGATTGTCGCATTTCGATGTGTGTAGGGGCACTTACACTCAATCACCGAGTCGTCTCCCACAAGTCCATCAGGGGAAGCACCCAGAACTCCCGACTCGTGTAGCCAAAGGCCGGTCTGTACAGGTGTAAAGTTTGTGATGTTGGTGAAGGATTTCAGGGCCTCAGTCTCATTGTCCTGTCCCCATGCAATTGCTTTAACTCCACTCAAGTTGTATTCCCCAAGTAGTCGCTTGATAAGAGACGGTGTAACTCTTTTTGCCTGGAGGACGGAGCCAAAATTACTGGCAGTCAGGCGGCCTCTACGAGCTTGGTGCCATGCAGGGCTGTTTCGCTGGCCAGCCGTGAGGGTGCTCACAACATTTATGGTTCTCTCCTCTACTTTGGCATTCTCAATCAAGTACTCTAATTGTTTTTCCTTCGTAGATGCCATAAGGAAACCTTCTGAGTAAATGATATCCTCAATCGTCTTGATCGGGAGAGGGGTAGCAGGTTGTGGTTCGGGACTCAAGATCCAGCAGGTCCCTGTAAATTTGCCATAGCGCTTTAGTTCGCTGTACAGCCACATCCGATCTTCTCGGCTAGGATCGCGCGCCAAAGGGCTGTAATCCTTCTTCTTCGGTGGCGCTGGAAACATCTGGCTTGCAGACTGTACGCTTTCTGCCTTTCGCTTTCGTTTCCATTGGCATTCCAGGTCCGTCCTGCTAAGGTTATGGATGCCATAAATAAATATGGCTGCCGCGTGACTGCACTTGAACTCGCCGCGAGGACACTCGCATTCTGTGTTTTTTATTTCAAGGTTTTCATCGAGATAAATCTGATAAAAAGATAATTCGAAACAGACACGTAAGTTGCAATATATATTCCGCAATATAAACATTAAATTGGAGGTGAAATCGGGGTTGGGAGTTCTTCGAATTGAACATACGTGTTGTGATCCCAAATTGGCAACTTACTGTGACTTTGTAGTCCTTATTTTTCATGCTTGCTTGGACTTCACCTTTGATGACTCCCCTGGAATAAATAAAGCTTTGGACATGGTCGGATTTGAAGTGGTTTTCTCCGCGATCAAGCGATTTCCGCTCTCCAGAAAAGAAAGAAACAAGTGAGCATATCGATAAAGATGCCATGTTTGAAGTATGAGTTTAAACTGTTTAGACCAGAAAAAAATGCTGTCATGGCAACATGACGTCACACTTTAGGACTCTATTGCTGCAGGTATGGAAATGCTTGCAGCAGCCCTAGCCCAAAACCAGCCCCCAACTCCACCTCTTTCTCCTCCTCCTCAGCCGTACTACCCTTGTGGACAATATATGGGTTATCCTAATCACTATGGTACTAACAATCAATAGTACAAAGGCTATCATATTAGGAGCTACAATTATGCATTCTGTTCTGAAAATGATTTATAAAATAGTTCAGGTGTTTTCATGAAGCTGAAATAGTTGATATAGAACTATTCTCAAATCACTAGCTCAGTATATTAGAATATTTCAATGCCTCTCTTTTGACTTTGTATTACTATTGGATAAAGGAGCCATCGAAAACTGTTCTAACTCAGTATCATCAGTTGCAAAAAAATGAAGCAATTAAGCACAATGTTTTGTTTTAACAAGTGAAATATTTTCAATTTGGTAGTTCAGTTGAAGAGACATGGAGCCTTCAAATTATTTTGCATAAACAAATTTTGGCTTTTCTTAGAAGAACTTTCATTTGCAATTATAAAGCTATTATCTGATATGTTTTGCAAGTTTGAGACTTGCTATTGCTGTTTTTGCTAATGTGATTATTCTTGATGTCCTTACATGGGATATACATTGACTGAATGCATATAGAATACAGATATTACAGGTTTAGTCATTAGTTTATTGAAACATTTATATGGTTAGTTACTGTTCATTAATGTTGAGATTGTCATTGTTCAATACAGTTCCAGTGATTTTTGTTTCATGAGTTACCCATGAATTGTTGGTACTAATTATTGCTATTGTTATTTAACACAACAAATTGTCTGTTTATAAGCATTAAAAGCTCCAGTTATCAAGATAGACATTGTTCTGTTGTCTGTGTGATAATAATGCTGTCTGAAAATCAAGCTAGCTCACACACATTTGTGTGCCTCCAAACATAAAGTCATTGTTGCTAAAACATTTGCATATTTACACAAATAATTACACTTTCAATTGGTTACGTACTGCTGCTTATTAACTAAACATATCAAGTTTTTCAATGTTTCAAGTTGACAAATTGCAATCCTGCTTGCAGAAAAGCCAATGATGTTGTTGTGCCATTCGTACTGTACAGTCAATATGGGATATGTTCTCTGTAATAATATGTGATAGCGTTTCTAGTGCCTGTTCCTTCTGCAGTATTGAATGAGTACAATCGATCAGGGGTATTGTTTGCTTGTAACCTCTCTAGAGCTATTTGTTGTGACACAATATCCTCGTCTATCTGTTGGTTATTGACTTCACAAAAATTGCGAAGAACAAAACATGTGTAGATAAGTGGAGGGACAAATTCCAAGCCTGAGTCAAGACGTTTGTTTAAAATTCGCCACCTGGCCTTTAGCCTCCCAAAGGCACACTCAATGGGGTTCCTTGCTACACGGAGCATGTTGTTGAAAATTACCTCTTCATTGCTTCTTGGGCTTGCATACTCCTTCATACAGTAGGGCAGCAATGGATAGGCAGGGTCCCCAATCAATGTCGCAGGCACTTTGTCATAACCAGGGAGAATTTGCTTGTACATCATGGGAAGCTTTTCTTCTCTTAAGAGCCTGTTTATTCTGGAGTTACTAAATACTCTCCCGTCGTGTACACTTCCAGGCCATTTGACTTCAACATCAAGAAATCTCCCATTCCAAGCACAAACAGCCTGAGTATTAATTGTATACTTCTGTTTGTAGCTATAGTAATCATGTGGGTTTTCTGTAGGTTGTTGAATTTCAATATGGGTGCCATCAATACAGCCAAAAGCCTGTGGAAATCCATATTTGTCTTCTATTCCCTTGACACGTGTAGCCATTTCTTTCACATTGCTGGGAAGTTTGATATATTTTGGCCCCATAGTAGCAGTAATCACATCGCATACCTTTCTAATGACCACAGAAGCTGTACTTTTCGAAACACCAAATGAATTAGCAGTCATGTACAATGATCCCTGATCTTTCAAATAGTATAGTGTCATTCCGATTTGCTTTTCAACAGAAAGAACATCATCGCCGTGCGGGCTACATCCAGGACGTAAATAAGGATACAGCTCATCAACTAGTTTTATAAAAACAATTCTATCCATCCTCAAATTCGTTTTCCACTCACTTTCTGGCAAAATCCCATGTTGTAAATTGAGCCACCACTGTTGAGTACGGCCGGGAATGCGCCAAATCCTGCCTTTACGACAAACTTGTCTCTTGACGTTATGGAGGTGATTCATAGCAATGCTATATTGGGCTGAAATGTGCTGGCTAGCCAGTTGTAAACGCTGTCTTTCAGCCATTAGAGATATCAACAACAAAGCACAAAGTTGAAAAGAAGGAACTAAAGAAGCGAGTGCCGTAAGAATTGAATTAACCCCCAAAACTTTATCTCCCGCTGTCATTTTGGTTGTTTTCCTTGCTGGGTGACCTGGCTATAGTGTCAGCCCTCGCCCCTAGGGTTTCAAATCACCATGTAAACGCTTGGTATCTTCAACCCTACCAAGTAGGGTAACCCTATCCCCTAGGGGCACCCTCTTCCCATGTAAACATGCCCTATGTCTTCTTCGGCCTCTAAAGCATCAAGGATTGCTTCTAAATCTCCTCCAAATACAAAATCGTTATGGTCGTCTGCCATTTGGTTTGAAATGTGTGCACGGTCAGGGTCACGTGATGGTATGGTTCAACATCAAAACCCAAACAATTGGCCGATCCCTTGAGGTTTGCCAGGTTTCTTAACCTGTCCCCTGTACTAACTATGGTCATATTCACTGTAAAGACCATTTTTATGTAAAGGTATCAAAATTGAAGAACAAGAAATACACTTTTTTTCACTTAGCTACACCATAAGTGATAATTACTGAACTGGAGAGTCCAGTTTAAAGAAGCCTTTGCATTTACCATGGAGAGACTCATAACTTCAATTTTATGCCCCTGACTAGCATGTACTGATAAATGTTAGTAAATATCATGTTAAAGTTTGTACTTGTATTTGAAACACCTGTCCTACAAGTACACTGTATCTACCAGTCGTTACAGCTTGGAACAATAAATATCACTGCCTTTGCCACCTCTTTCAGGAAGCGGAAATTCTGCCAGTATGAGCTCGATCTCAGTGGGAGAGGAGTCAACTGGATGGAGTGCCCAGCATGTGACACCCTGCAGCATTCTGTCAGATTTCATTGCATTTTTCTTGAATGACTTGCTGATAAAAAAAAAAAGTGACAGAGAATCAGGTGAACATTGGATATTGCCAATTCGGATACACTGCATTTGTAGGCTGGATTGTCAGATTTCACCCCGTTTTTGTTGAATGACTTGCTGATAAAAGAAATTGACGGAAAATCAGGGTGCACATTGGATATCACCGATTTGGATACACTGCGTTTGTAGGCTGGATTGTCCGATTTCATCCCATTTTTCTTGAATAACTTGCTGATAAAAGAAAATGACCGAAAATCTGGGTGAACATTGGATATCACCAATTCGTAGGCACTGCATTTATAGGCTGGATTGTGGGATTTCATCCCGTTTTTCTTGAATTGCTGATAGAAGAAAATGACGAAAAATCAGGGTGAACATTGGATATCGCCAATTCGGATACACTGCATTTGTAGGATGGATTGTCCGATTTCATCCCGTTTTCCTTAAATGACTCGCTGATTGAAGAAAATGACGGAAAATCGGGGTGAACAGTGGATATCGCCAACTCGGATTTCAGCATTTTACATTTTGTGTGGTTCTTATTCTTCTGGTCAGCACTTACGATGGATGATTGTTCTATATTACTAATCAACTATTTTAACCAACAGGAATTGAAGTGGTACTTCCAAATGGACAGAGGGCAAAATCTAAGGTCAAGGCTCTCTCAAGCCATTTTGATCTTCCTGCCCGTGCTGGTGTATTAGAACAGGTGACATATGTTGGTCATGACAGCTGCTGTTATTGTGATGAGCATGGTGAAACTGTCAAGACTGGTCCCAGGGGCCATGTGATGTCACTTCCATTCAGAAACCGTAGTTACTAAAAGTTGGAGTCACCTGAAACCACCTGAAACCATCTGAAACCACTTGAAACCATCTGAAACCATCTGAAACGATCTGAAACCACCGATGAAACCACCTGAAACCATCTGAAACCCCCTGAAATTATCTTGAAACAATTTAAAACAACATGAAAGCACCTAAAAAACTACGGGTAACATGAGAAAATAAGTGTTAACAATCGAGTTTATCCAGGAGCCCCGCCTACGGATATCGTATATAATGCCCTACAGTACAGAATAGGCACCACAAACAGGTCTTCAAGGAAACATTCCATTGTTCTTGTTGAAAACACCCTCAATTAGCTCTACGAATGGCAATATGCAAATTCATTTCTTGACAAAGCACTTGCATGACAATAACATGCGATCGCGAATGCAAAGAAGAAACTGTTTTAAATCGAAAGAAATACGTGGAGTTTTTTCAACGGGATCATGCAAATTATATATGAAAAGGCCCAGGAAGGCTTGAAGATTTTCAAACTTCCTAAGGAAATCTTGAACATTGTGTTACTTTTTAATCAGAGACAAATTTATAGCATGACCTAGAATTTCACTGACTTTGTTTTTGCAAAAGTGAAATATATGTGGATTTTTTGCAAGGTATTTTACAGCAAATGACGGAATATAGCTGATGAATAGTGTCTTTAACTTCCACTGCCTTAGTAAATTGACTAGATAGTTGAGATTTTGAGAAAAAAAAAGCCTAAAGCCCAGTTTGTGGTGCCTATTCTGTACTGTAGGGCATTATATACGATATCCGTAAGCCGGGCTCCCTGTGGATAAACTCGATTGGGTTCTGTCCTCATGTACCGGTTCACAAGAGCCGTTACAAAAGACCGAACAATACACAACAGCTAACCAATGACTCCTAAACAAAGAAAGAACAATGGTAATTCCCTTGTGAACCGGTACACCAGGACAGAACCCTCGATTGCTAACACTTCTTTTCTCATGTTACCCATAGTTTTTTAGGTGCTTTCATGTCATTTTAAATTGTTTCGAGATATTTTCAGGTAATTTCAGATGGTTTCCTTGGGGGTTTCAGATGGTTTCTGGTGGTCTCATCGGTGGTTTCAGATGGTTTCAGATGGTTTCGGGTGGTTTCAGATGGTTTCGGGTGGTTTCAGATGGTTTCAGATGGTTTCAGGTGGTTTCAGGTGATTCCAACTTTTAGTAACTACGATTCAGAAACACAGCATCAGGACATGCTAAACCACGATTTGCAGAATTAGTCCCATCACACTCATTTGAGGCACTTGAAAAAAATTCAGTGGTAGGTTCCTTAACATTGCCATCTAATAATACAATGTATTTTACAAACTCACAAAGTCATGAAGTAAAACAATATTCAAATGATTTTGAAACGTTTAGCCAATTTTTTCAAAATACATGAATAGTGACAAAGCTCCTTTCACAACTTTCAGCTTTTTGTATTCTTTTCTGCATCAATCACAATCTTGTTCAGGTGTAAAATGGAACTTTTTAAATTAATTTTAATATCGAGTTGTTGTCTTACTTTTTTTTTCACATTGGGATAAATGGGCTGGCTACACAGCCATACTAATATTTAACTATACAATCTTAATATAAGGAATTATATCACCTCTAATAATGTCTAGTTTTAGTTTGATTCAGAATTTTCTTATGCATACTTCATAGATCTCTGGCTTTAAGTTTCCCAGTCCCTTGTTACAGCTGCCAAGTTTTAACATTGTTAATGGAATTGGTATAGATTCCATGCATTGTGTGTTCCTTGGGGTGGTAAAACAACTAGTTGGTTTGTGGTTCAACTCGAAACACAGCGCACAAAAGTAGTATTGTGGAAATAGTGTTCAGAAAGTTGACATGCGTCTTTTGGAGATAAGGCCCCCCTGTGTCATTACCAACCTTGTTCCCACGGCTTTCCCTTTTAGAATATTTTGGTGGGCAGGAAAAGGCCCTGACATAGGCTGATGAGTGACGTCACAGCACCTTGAAATTCTGGATGTAACAAATTATCATCACTGTAAACATGGCGGCGCAACTAGGTGTTTTGCATGTGTTTGGAAATCTTCAAATAGCTTTTAATAAGAATAGTTTCCCTCAAATAAACTTAAAACCTTAACAAGTTAAATGCTTGGAGCATTTATTGAATGGTCATGATGTTGTAGCTGTCTTACCAACTGGATTTGGGAAGTCTTTGATGTTCCATCTTTTGACCGATTTTCTTCCCGTCAAGAAAGACAAAAACATTGTAATTGTTGTTAGTTCCTTCAACTCGATAATCAAGGATCAACTCAAGGTATTAAAAGGAAGAGGAATCAAAGCTGGGGTGCTTGGGATGAATGCGGGGAAACGAAAAGAGCAAGAGAAGCTGTTTGAGAATTTCACCATGGACGAAGGCGCGAAGTTTTCCGTTTCACGCGAGGTTTTCAAAGGACGTTGTTCGATTACATTTGCTCACCCTGAGGCCCTACTCAGTGCCGAAGGCGCAAAATTGATGTCCAGTAAAGTTTTTCAAGATAATGTAGCTGCTTGTGTAATTGATGAGGCTCACTGTGTTGAACTATGGTAAGTAGAGTAAGCTATAATTTACAGTTGATAACTTCTATAATATTTGATCAACCACATAAAATCTAAACTATATAATAACTTTTGCTGGAAAGAGTACCATATAACCCTAAACATTAATTATACATTCTACTTCCTTGTCTTTCACGACAAACCTTTAAAAACAAAGTCTACTAGTCTGAATGCATAATTAAGGTATGGGGTTAGATGGTACTCTTGCCCTCTTGCTAAACCTATAAATAATTTCAAATTAAACATAAAGTCCCAGTTCTTATCTAACTACAAAATAAAATCGTTTAGCACCACTTTTTGTATACTTAAAAAATGCATAACTGATCGCTATATTTCATTATTTTTCCTGGACATGCAAGGTTTCAAAATATGAATTGTTTTTTTGGTAGATCATTTTTGTTTGTGGCGTCAATAAACTCTGTGCAAAAACGAATGATTTTTGGCCCCAAGGCTGATTACTATTGGTAGGATGACCCCTTCCATGTAAGTTAAACCATTTAACTTAGTATACAAACACTCTTACCCCATGGATAACTCTAATGGCGAGTAATCTTTTTAAAGGGGTGAAGATTTTAGAGAAGATTTTAAGGAACTAGCAGCACTCAAAAGCTCTCTTCCCCAGAGTGCCTACCTTGGCCCTTACAGCCACAGCACCACCACACCTTGTGAAGAAACTTAGATTTAGTTTGTCTATGACTAGTGCAAAAATGGTCTGTGTAAATCCCAACCGACAAAATATAATACCTAAACAAAGAAATGAGACTAAACAATTTTGGAAAAGACAGCTATTCTGCTATTCTTGAGCCAATTGCTGAAGAACTTGTTATGCAACGTGAAAATTATCCCATGACCATCATTTATCTAAAGTTAAAGTACTGTGGTTATGCGTATGTCCCGTTTGAACAAGTGCCAGGTGAGAATCAGTTTGTTGGTAACACAACAGAACCTACAGGCAGATTGTTTACACAATTTCACTCACCACAAACAGATCGAATGTAGAAAGAATTGGTTAGCGAAATAAAAAAGGAGGATTCAAGGGTGAGGGTTTTATTTGAAACTGCGGCATTAGGAATGGGAGTAGATGCACCATATGTAAAGAACGTCATCCACATAACTGCACCATGCAGTATTGAAGCTTATATGCAAGAAATGGGAAGGGCAGGTTGAATAGGTGAAGCATCAGAAACAACTCTGTATTACAATAACTCTGACATTGGTGCAAACGTTAAGTACATGGATCAATCTATGAAAGAATATTGCTGCACTGATGATTCTTGCCTGAGAAAATTTCTGTTGGGCTATTTTGGTTTCTCTTGCAAGGAACAATCTAATTGCTGCTGCTGACAACAAAAAACAATCTACCCAAAGTAATCTTCCAGACCTGGTTAAAGTACGTACATTACCACAGAATAAATCAGCCCTTCAACAGTCAATAAGAACCACACTGGAGTTGCAGTTTACAGAGGAATACACAGGACTTTTTGATTTTGGCAATGCCAAATCAATCACCGAGGAAATATTGGAAGACATTGAGTTCATTTCATCAGAGTGACCAGCTCAGTAAATTTGGTGTCTGGAATGAGGAAAGTTGTGCGACAATATATAACTTAATATGGAGCTCTAACACAGAAATTAACAGGGAAGACAGTCAATAACAAAAAAAGGACAACTTTTAATTCAAATCAGTAAAATCAGTAAAAAACATTTCTGTATACATGCATATTGTAAGATTTTTATATCATAAATTATGAGATGTCATCCCTGATATTTAGCTCCCCATAGTACCCTAGCACTATTACTAATCAAGGAAAATATCAGAGATGATATCCCATATTTTCTGATATAGTTTTGATATTGTTGAAATTTGTTTAAAACTGTCAAAGTTTTTGCAAATAGCAATTTATAAAATTCCTGTTAGGATATACATGTTATGTTTACATTTGATGTTATGAAAACAACTAACTCTTCTGAGCAGGAGAGTTAGTAGAGAACATGACATTGAATTCTTTTTATTTCCACTTAATTAACACTCATTCAATGAATTTGGTGCTGTCCAGATATCAACTATACAAATATTGTGAATATTGTGTTTACTTAGTATTAGAGTTTGTTGTAAAAAAAAATATATACATTAATTTCATCCAGTAATAGTGTCATCTTGTCCTTGATTTGGATATTGCCACCATCTGGTTCCATAACATGACATTGACCAATTTAAGCATAAAGCCACAGTTTTAGCATAAAGTGTGTTCAGGTTACATACTTGCATCATTTTGATGAGTTTGTGTTTTCACTGTTAATGCTCTCCCACTCATATGAAAACTTTAGTCTGGAATCACAGTTTGTATTTTAACATAGTAGAATCAGTATGATTATAATCTGAGTACTTCTCATCAAAACCTTGGTTACTTGTTTTTTAATTAGTTACCGGTACTAAAACTTCTTAGAGAAGGGCCACTAAATCTGTGAAGGAGAATTTGAAACAGTAGTTGTTATTTGATATTTGTTTCATGGATTATGAACTAATAACTGCTAGAGCTCAACCAGAACAGCCTAACACAAAGGTAAAAACAGAAATCAAAACTTCCCCTTGATTAAAAGAGTTGTGGCAACCCATGGAAAACACTTATGCATGTTGCACTTTAACATACTTCCAATGTCAATATATGACTATTACTCTTAGCTACACTTTGGGAATCAAAATTTGCTTCAGAGTTTTTCTAAATAACTATTTCTTAAAAACTATTTGTTAAAATTCCAACACTCATGTTGATAGCTCTTTCTTGTGCCTGTCTAACCACTCATGAAATTCTACAATATTTAAGTACTTAACAGGGCACCTTTTAATTTCTGGAAAGCTGTCATGACATCTCTCTGCTTCATACTCAAATGGGTCCAATAGCAATAACTTATCAATCATACCTTTTTCATCCTCAAGGTAATCAGGTCTTGAGTGCTGTACTGATTTCTTGTGAATTCCTGTAGAACTATCAAATTTCTCAGAAATCTGTTTGATGCCTGTTGCAGCTTTGCAGACTTTGCTGATTGAGTTCATAGTTTTGTTGGGACCCATTCTTTGGACAATGCTCTTGCTACACCTGTTTGAAATTTCTTGGGCTAGATCATCTTCAATGTTCTATCCAGTGCCACCTCTCCAATGCTCACAAACATCTCAATGGCATACTTACCGTATTTACCCGTGTATAATGCGAACTTATTTTTCCCGAAATGAACACCTAAATTCGAGATGCGTATTATACACGGAATCCTTTGTTTAGGCTGACGCGACATTAGAATAACAAAGACACATAAGCGTGCGATGTAATTGGTCTTTAATTTGAGGGTAAACTAACCTACCAATGACATGTTAACAATTTGGATCCTTGAATAAATTTAACTAAGTATTTAAGCGAACAGCTGATCAACAAAACAGTTACTGTAATCTTNATAAGGTCCAAAATATGCCCAGAAATATGCGTGGACATCGTTACGTGTTGTGAGAGGCTGAAGGTTTCCAGCAACTCTTTAAATCTTATAGCACAATTGCTATGCACCAAATCCATGTGAAAGTTGAAATCCCCAGCGATAATAAGAGGTTCAGGACACATGACAATGTTTTCAAGATACGACGAAAACTCATCAAGAAATACCGACGCAGAAGAGTTGGGAGGGCATGATTGCTTGTCAAGGGTGGGTTGTATACTTGAGGCATATCTTGTAGCATACCAGTTTTAACATAAATCTCAGCTATCCAGTTCTCATAAGTTCTTAAAATTTCAACAAAATCTTCATACTGGGATTCATCTGCATTTATTATAGGCATGCCAACAATGGTTGATTTTTCGGTCATCTCCTTGCTGTATTCATGGGGGAGGTGGTCAGGGATTACTTCACTTAGGCATTTGAATTTAGGGAAGGATTCAAGGCAAATTGTTGCAACAAGAACTTTAGCTGAATATGCATATTGACGCCATTCGTTTAAATTCAATGAGAAAACAATACGAGGTAGTTTCTTGATATCACCCTTTGGTTTATCATTTGGGAGATGATTAAAACTAATCCTGTTCTGTATCGAGTTGCTGGTAAATAAATGAAGGTCTTAATTTTTTAATTCCAATCTCATGTGGCTTCTTAAGATCTTCAGATCCCAGTTGTCACCATACAGTGCCATGAAACACCTAATAATATTAAGAGTACAAAAACTGTGAATACCTGCGGCTAAGAACCTAACAAATAAGAACCTGTTAGCCTAAATTTGCCATTTATACCCCCTCTTGACAAGAAGCTATTTAGCCTAACAAAGTTAAAATAGGTTCTTATTTTCAAAAATCATCATTCTCTTAAAACACAAGAATAATAGAATTAGTACGATGTCTTGTTGGGGTGAGGTAGTGGTGGCAAATAAAGTAAGATACAATTACCAAGTTGCTTGCAGCAATGTTTTATATTTTTTCTCCTGTATTTAAGAACCAATTTCGAATACCTAATTAGCCTAAAATTCTCTTAAGTACATTTATAAAAGAACATAAGACATTTACTGTTATTTCTATTTGATAGTCTTGTAGTGGCCAGTGTCAAGTTCATTGGGAAATACATTCCTGCCTCTTTAAACCTTTTTTACTTCTATTATAACCTTGCCATCCTTTCCTTTTCTGACAACCACATCTGAGAAGTGACCTCCCAACAGCTTAAGGAGTGTGTCTCTTGTGCCATGTGACAAGCAGACACCAAGTTTGTTCAGTCTTTCTTGAAGCTAAAAAGTGAAAAACGACCTTATTGTCATTCATTCTTAATATGTTTTATCTAACACTAACAGATTAAAAATCTGAAAACTCACAAGGCAACTACCCAGTAGTACAATAACTTAAATGAAAAATAGTACAAGCAGGGTAAAAGAGTTATAAACAGCTATAACAAACTTAAAGGAAGAATTGAAACACAATGATTTTATGAATTCACTAGCTTTTACCAGCCAGAGATATATCAAAATGGAAAGGAACATGGAACATAAAATTAGTATAGGTAATCGCATGGGGCCGAGTAAAATTAAGGATTAATATCACGCATGATTTCGGAAGTTGCTGAAATTGCCCGAGTCACGCAGCGATGAGGGCCATTTCTGCAACTTCCGAAAACACAAGTGATATTAATCATTAATTTTACGAGGAAACGTGATTAAAGTCTCTATCGGATAAGCTGAAGACTAATCCAAGGAAGTTTTGGTCTTTTCATTCTCTTAAGTCCAAGAGCAAGAGACTGCCAGAAGTAATAACTTACTCTGGCAAAGCCAGGTCTGCAAAAGATCCTGTGGAAAAAGCTTCCCTGTTCAATGAATTCTTGAGCTCCGTTTTCTCTACAAAAACATCAAACTCTGGCAGCTCTCATGTTGATGTGATTAATCCTAACTTATTGATGGATGTATTCACTTCGTACAGTGAAGTTAAGAATATCCTCTGCAACTTGGACATTAATAAAGCAACTGGAGTAGACGGCATTCCTGCGAGGATATTGAGGGAATGTGCAGAGGAGCTATCTTACCCATTGGTTCTACTGTTTAACTTGTCGTTCAGGTGTGGGAGAGTTCCTTCTTCATGGAAAAGAGCTAATGTCACTCCTGTGTTTAAATCAGATGCTAAAGATGTGGTAGAGAATTATCGATCTATATCCCTGTTATCGATTCCAAGTAAATGCCAAGAGAAGATTGTATATAATGCCATATATTCTCATGTGGCCCCTTACCTGACAGATTGGCAACATGGTTTCATAAGGGGTCGCTCGTGTGCTACCCAGTTGGTATTAACACACCATCAGTGGACAAAGGCCTTGGATGATGGACTACAGGTGGATGTCGTGTTCTTAGATTTTTCTAAGGCATTTGACAGAGTATCACATGATATACTTCTTCTGAAGTTGTGTAATTTCGGCATCTCTGGTAGCCTACTAAGATGGTGCGAGGATTACTTGACCCACAGAGAGCAAAGGGTTGTTATTGAAGGACAGAGTTCTACCTGGTCTGTTATCCCATCTGGTGTACCACAGGGCTCCCTACTAGGGCCATTATTTTTTGTAAT